TAACACACACACACTTGTACATATAAACACATGCACTAACACACACATGCACACACGTACGACACACACACATGTATGATACACACATGACACATGTACGACACACACACACTTACACATACATATACAAAAAAGCACACACACTGAAACAAAATCATTTTAACAAAATCATCAGTATCAGAAATAATTTGTGTCCAGACTCGTTGTTTCTGTGTCTCTGTCCACACGACTTTGAGCACATTTGTTTACATTTTACAGAAACAAAACTTAAAACCACATGACTCATTTACATAAACTGAGCTTCAAGAAAAATTCAGTTTGTGTTGGACTAAAGGACACAGTGACTCAGTGGAATATGAGTGTTCTCTCTGTGACAGAGGGGTGTTCTCTCTGTGTCAGAGGGGTGTTCTCTCTCAGAGGGTGTTCTCTCTGTGTCAGAGGGTTTCTCTGTGACTGTGACAGAGGGGTGTTCTCTCTGTGACAGAGGGGTGTTCTCTCTGTGTCAGAGGGGTGTTCTCTCTGTGTCAGAGGGGTGTTCTCTCTGTGACAGAGGGGTGTTCTCTCTGTGACAGAGGGGTGTTCTCTCTGTGTCAGAGGGGTGTTCTCTCTGTGTCAGAGGGGTGTTTCTCTCTGTGACAAGGGGTGTGTCTCTCTGTGTGTCAGAGGGGTGTGTGTCTCTCTGTGACAGAGGGGTGTTCTCCCTGTGTCAGAGGGTGTTCTCTCTGTGTGTCTGTGACAGAGGGGTGTTCTCTCTGTTGTGTTCTCTCTGTGCAAAGAGGGGTGTTCTCTCTGTGACAGAGGGGTGTTCTCTCTGTGACAGAGGTGTCAGAGGGGTGTTCTCTCTGTGACAGAGGGGTTTCTCTCTGTGACAGAGGGGTTCTCTCTGTGTCAGAGGGGTGTTTCTCTCTGTGTGACAGAGGGTGTTCTCTCTGTGTGACAGAGGGGTGTTCTCTCTGTGACAGAGGGGTGTTCTCTCTCTGTGACAGAGGGGTGTTCTCTCTGTGTGTTCAGAGGGGTGTTCTCTCTGTGTCAGAGGGGTGTTCTCTCTGTGAGAGGGGTGTTCTCTCTGTGAGAGAGAGGGGTGTTCTCTCTGTGTCAGAGGGGTGTTCTTCTGTGACAGAGGGGTGTCTCTCTGTGTCAGAGGGGTGTTCTCTCTGTGTGACAGAGGGGGTGTTCTCTCTGTGTGACAGAGGGGTGTTCTCTCTGTGTGACAGAGGGTGTTCTCTTCTGTGTGGACAGAGGGGTGTTCTCTGTGTCAGAGGGGTGCTCTGCTGATGTCAGTCTGTTCTGTGTTTTGTGTGTGTTGTTGGTTTCATGTGAAACTTTTCACACATTATACGTGTGCAGGTCGTACACACAGACACATAGAACTAAACTTCAACTTTTAACGAGAAACCGACTGAAACACTAGAAAGTTACAGCAGCTGATTTTGAACCGAGGAAAATGATGAGAGTAAAAACCATATTTGTATCTCAGCTGTTTCTTGTTTGTTTGAACTGTTTTCCACAACATCGTCACATGACGACGTCACAAACCCAGAGAATCAGAAGGAGCGAGTCACAGTGACACAGTGACACAGTGTCACTGTGACACAGTGACACAGTGACACAGTGTCACAGTGTCACAGTGACACAGTGACACAGTGACTCACAGTGTCACAGTGACAGCACAGTGACACAGTGACACAGTGTGACACAGTGACACATACACAACACACAGTAGTGAGTGAAACCAACACTATACACACAACAACACCACTCACATACACACTAGCGTGAACCAACACTGTACACACAACAACACCACACATACACACTAGTGTGAACCAACACTGTACACAACAACAACACCACTCACATACACACTAGTGTGAACCAACACTATACACACAACAACACCACTCACATCACACACTAGCCGTCAACAAACAACACGTGTACCACACTATAACACAACACACACTCACATACACACTAGTGTGAACCAACACTATACACACAACAACACCACTCACATACACACTAGTGTGAACCAACACTGTACACACAACAACACCACTCACATACACACTAGTGTGAACCAACACTGTACACACAACAACACCACTCACATACACACTAGTGTGAACAACACTGTACACACACAACACCACTCACATACAACACTAGTGTGAACCAACACTGTACACACAACAACACCACTCCATACACACTACAACAACACTATACACACAACAACACCACTCACATACACACACTAGTGTGAACCAACACTGTACACACAACACACACTCACATACACACTAGTGTGAACAACACACACAACAACACACAACATACACACTAGTGTGAACCAACACTGTACACACAACAACACCACTCACATACACACTAGTGTGAACGGGGCCTTAGACTCTTTGTTTGGTTGTTGGTGTTGGGCAAATGAGCTGCAGTTTCCCCCCCACAGTAAATGTAAAATATTCAGCACTTTTCCACCTTCGAGGCTCAAAGTGCTTCACAACAAACACAAATACTCCAGATAATGACACGGCAAAGGTTTAGTCCTGGTTTAGTCCTGGTTTAGTCCTGGTTTAGTCCTGGTTTAGATCTGGATTTAGTCCTGGTTTAGACCTGGTTTAGATCTGGTTTAGTCCTGGTTTAGTCTGGTTTAGTCCTGGTTTAGTGGTTTAGTCCTGGTTTAGTCCTGGTTTTAGACCTGGTTTAGACCTGGTTTAGACCTGGTTTAGACCTGTTTAGACCTGGTTTAGATCTGGTTTAGTCCTGGTTTAAGACCTGGTTTAGACCTGGTTTAGTCCTGGTTTAGTGTTTTAGTCCTGGTTTAGTCCTGGTTTAGACCTGGTTTAGTCCTGGTTTAGGTTTAGTCCTGGTTTAGACCTGGTTTAGTCCTGGTTTAGTCCTGGTTTAGATCCTGGTTTAGTCCTGGTTTAGTCCTGGTCTATCGGACTGATGATCTGACCCTGGTTTTTCACGAGCAGGTAACAGGTCAGCTTCTCTCTCTTCTCTCTTTGATTCAGTCCATCATCTCCCTCCTTTCTTTTTCTTTCTCTCTTCTTCTTTCTGTCATCACTCCACCTCTTTTTCTCTCCTCTACCTCCGTCTTTCTCACCTCTCTCTCTCTCTCTCTCTCTCTCTCTCCTCTTTCTCCTCCGTCCTGTCTTCCTCTCGTCCAGTCATTGTTCTGTTTTCACACGTCCTCAGAGTCTCCGTCTCCAAACAGCCGAGCTAAAAATAAAAACAGGAAATCCTCAAATTATGGTAAAAAAAAACATCATTTCACTTTTGACGAACAGCAGAATCCGACCAAAAGAGGAAAAACACGGCGTTATTTTCTCATTTCTGAAGTTTATTTTGTTTTTCCAGTTGCCGGTCGATACAAATCAAAAAGTAATTTAGTTTATGATACAAAACTGTAGCTCCTCGGCGACGCTGCACACGGTTCTCGAGTGTTGGTGCATTTATTAATCTTAAAAAATGTTATGAAAACTACAGGAGAAATAAAATATACAATTCAACGCTTCATCTTCGTTTGCTCACACAGAAGTATTGTATTTTTTAAACTATTAGTCGCTCTAGCCAGAAAATGTCTAATGAAGAAGAAAAAGGTTTGGCAGATGCTGTTTACACCAGGTTATTTATTTTTTTTAAAAACCTCAGCGTCAGTACAAATATAAAAGCTCCAGCCCAGTGAAAATCTGTGATATTTAATGTGATTTTTTACTCAAAATGATCCAGAATCATCGATCAATCTGTCGCCGTCTGCACCTAACGGTTTAGTCCTGATTAAATCTTGGTTTAGTCCTGGTTTAGACTTGGTTTTAGTTCTGGTTTAGTTCTGGTTTAGTCCTGGTTTTAGTCCTGGTTTTAGTCCTGGTTTAGACTTGGTTTTAGTTCTGGTTTAGACTTGGTTTTAGTCCTGGTGTAGTCCTGGTTTAGACTTGGTTTTAGTTCTGGTTTAGACTTGGTTTTAGTCCTGGTGTAGTCCTGGTTTAGTCCTGGTTTTAGTTCTGGTTTAGTTCTGGTTTAGTTCTGGTTTAGTCCTGGTTTAGACTTGGTTTTTTGTCCTGTTTTTAGTTCTGGTTTAGTCGTGGTTTTAGTCCTGGTTTAGACTTGGTTTT